TGTGACCTTATTATATTTTCCCGCACCTTCCCTTCCCGCACCTTCCCTTCCCGCACCTTCCCGCACCTTCCCGCACCTTCCCTTCCCTTCCCGCACCTTCCCTTCCCGCACCTTCCCGCACCTTCCCGCACCTTCCCTTCCCACACCTTCCCACACCTTCCCGCACCTTCTCACACATTCCCTTTCCCTCTCTCTGTAACTTCACTGCTGTACTGTACAGTATTCCCCTTAACAAGGCTGTGGGTCTGCATCAGATCTTTTTTCTTTCACTTAGCTTTGTGACTTCCAGGCCACCTGAGAGTCCCTCGTAGTGCTTTTATGCGCTGCCAGAGAATTGTGCTGAAACAACCTGCTCCTGTCCGTTGAGACCCTGAAAACTGATTCTCCTTGAAAATTGATTGTACTCTGTTTGAATTGTAACTCCTCCAGCCTCAAGACCTGGAATTCAGAACAAAATATAATAAGGTCACAGTACTAGGTTACTGATGTTGGGAGTTAGTTTTTTCTGTTGTAATGAATTAAGCATTTCTATAACATGGAACAATATTTCTAGGGCTTTGTTTTCTATACAATAAATATAATACATTTTGAACTCAAATATCTTTAGTAAGGTTTCAAGCTTGGTGGGGTTTTTTTAATTGCTTGTATATATTTTTTAATCCTTGAGCAGATCAAGTCATCTCAGATTTTGATTTTATCACATACTATTTTGGGTACCAGACTAAGAATTTTGTCACTAGCTCAGAATGTCAAGTTCAGGCCTTTTATATTATTTTACATGCATCCTAGATACATCTCTAATTTATGTGGACCATACATGCATCTCTAATTTTTGTGTAAACAGTTTTAACAGGAATTAAATTTTTCTTAAATCAAACTAGAATAGATTCAGATAAACTGCAACTCTTGCATGCATTATTTTGTTTCCAGAGCTACCTACTAGAAAGCTAGATTGCAGAAGGCTAGCACTAGTGTGAAAATTTGGAGTCCTGTAGCCATCCATTCCAAGAGATGTATGCAGATATGTTTCCTCCCAATATGCACTTACAGTTTACTTCAGATGTAGTATCCTATACTGGTGTTGGATGTAAACTAAAGTCAATAACCTTTATGAAGAGTTTCAGTGAGGCATTTAATTAAACACAACTCAAGCATTTCTTCAGATTAAGAAATTCATTGAAACCAAGTTGCATCACATATTTATGTATTAAAGGATTACCAGGGACCTGGTCTTTCTAACTCTTAAATGTAAGGGATCAGTATCACAGAACACGTGAACATTTCTTGCTGTTTCAAGTTCATGAATATTTACTATTTCATTCCAGAGGAGAGAATTTTGTTCTTTTGTAAATTGCTTTCTGAAAATAGGTTGCCCAACCAGAAAGCCATCACCATCAAACATAGATCGTATCTGTTGTTATTTAGCTCTGTCCCAGCATGGATAACAGTTATTGATTTTCTTGAACTGAGAGGTCAGTCCAGGGCAGGACACAAAGAGTCTAAACATAGAAAAAAAATAGTTCAGTTTGAAGAGACATTGGGGTGATGGACAATAGATGGTAATAGTAATTGTTCATTTTAGTTTAATATGGAATAAAAGTTTGATAAGAAGTTTCACAGAAATAAAGAAAATAATAAATACTTTCTTAATTATGTGAGCATTTAGACTATGGATGCGCTGCAAAAGCATTTACAAACTGGAAAGTGACTTATGATGAGTTGAAATAATAGCAGTCCAGAAGGATTGAATTTTGATATGCAACAGTTCTGAAGGAACAATAAACTTATATCACTTTGCTTTTGTAGCCTGCAGCTTATTTGTCCTTTCTCTGTCCAGTTCAGCAGCAATCTGGGTTGAATGTGCCTGTGAGTTTACTGCAGGATGCCTTTTTCTCTTGAGAGTTCTTCTGTCACTGTTTCCTGTCTCTTTGAAAGACCCTTCACCTCCAATAGCCCTGCACCTTTCTCACTCACAGATTGCTCACAGCTGACCTTCCTGCCTCTCCCTTGGCTTTGTTTGTTATCCATGTTATGTCCTGATACTTTAATTATTTTTTTTAAGTGCCTTTAATTTTCTTTTCCAGAGGGTGCTGTAAGTTAGGAAGTTTTGTCAAATAATTTGTAAAGCAGCTAGAGGAAAGAAGCATCAGTTATTTCCCAGGATTTTTGTCAGTGTTAAGACAAGTACTTGGATAAATCTTTTCAGAGCTGTAAAAAGCAGAAAGTCCTGGGATATTTGCCAGCCAGGGCCCATCTCAACACCCACAGTAGGGGAGCAGGGCAAGCCTGGAGATTGTGACCAGGTGCAACCATAGTCTAGATCCTAGTGACATCATGAAAACGAGAGAAGTCTGAAGTCCACGTCGAAAGCTAAACCACAGGCCAGGATTAGGATCAGGTTAAATAGAGCTCCTTGGCCCATGTGTGTGGGTGGAGGACCCAGGGGAAGCTGGCTGGGGCCATTTTATAAGTGTCCCCATGGCCCTGCCTGCTTGTAGAGAGTTTTGAGCTGTAAGGGCAATGTAGTACCAGCATTTACAGTAGTATTATTATACTGTTTCGCTCTCATTGAGTTACATCAGCACCAAATGGAAACAGTTCCTTTGAGCCCATAACATTTAGGCCAGCTGAACGAATACTACATGTACAGTTACTCCCAAGAAACATTTACTAGTTTTGTATCCAAAGTGCCAAGAAGCAACTTCTCAGATTTTCTTATTTAAATCAACCAATGTTTTTAAATAGCCTAACAGTTTACTTTTTTGATGACCCAGCTCATATGTAAAATGAATATATATTTAGTATTAGTAAAAATTTAAATTAGTTGGTTTACACATTGAATGCATTTGTCTTTTTAAATGTGCATACTCTAGTCACCTTCATGTGTT